ATCTAAAAATTTTGCTTGGAAATCTCTTCTAAATGATCCTTAGAACATATCCAGAAAATTTGAGGGTGATTGCTCAAAAAATGTAGGAGAAGTTAGATTTTTAGACTCGATTTTCAGGGCGCGCAATCAAAAATCGCTCGCGCAATACAAATACACGCAAGCGCTGACCTTTTACCGGCGATAATTTCGGCTAGGAACAATATTTTTCTATCGGATTAAAAGCATCTGATAGATATCACTCCCTTCTATCAAAAACAACAAAAAGTCGATTTTGAGAAAATTTCCATGAAGACCCCCCTGCCCCCTTAAGGTCTGGACTAATAATATTGACCAGGGCTCCCTTATATTAGACCACGGCCAACCCGCCCCCCCCCCCCCCTCCTAAAGCCACCTCCCACAAATATGGAGAAGGGGGTGGCCGTTGTCGTAGTCAATATATCCATATTCGGGGGAGGGGGGGGGGGGGGGGGGGGGGGGTGTTGGCCCTGGTCTTATATGGAGAAGATTAGAATGTTATATCCATATTTGAGCTGGGGTGGCCGTGATCAAATACATCCATATTTGTGGGAGGTGGCAGTGGTCAATATATATCCATATTTTACCCCCTATTATCCTCTCTTCATTATTATCCCCCCTCTTTTTCGACCCCCTCTTTATCATACCCTCTTTATCATCCCCTCTTTATCATCCCCTTTCTTTATCATCCCCTTCTTTATCGTCCCGCTCTTTATCATACCCTCTTTATCATCCCCTCTTTATCGTCCCTTTCTTTATCATACCCTCTTTATCGTCCCCCCTATTGATCATCCCCTCTCTATCACCCCCTCTTTATCATCCCTTTCTTTATCGCCCCTCTCTTTATTATCCCCTTCTTTATCGTCCCCTCTTTATCATACCCTCTTTATCGCACCGCTCTTTATCGTCCCTCTCTTTATCGCCCTCTCTTTATCATCCCTCTCTTTATTGTTTCCCTCTTATTCGTCCCCTCTTTATCATCCCCCTCTTTGTCATCCCCTCTTCATCATCCCCTTCTTTATCTCCTCTTCTCTTTCGTCTCCCTTCTCTATCGTCCCTTCTATCGTCCTCCCTCTATCGCCCCTCTTTTTATCATCTCCTTCTTTATCATCCCTCTCTCTATCGTTCCTCCCTTCTATATCATCCCCTCTGTCGTCCCCTCTCTCTATCTACATCCCTCTATATTTCACTCTCTATCGTCCCCTCTCTATATTTCCCTCTCTATCGTTCCCTCTTTCTATCATTCCATCTTTATCGCCCCTTCTATCGTCCCCTCTCTCTCTATCTATCTCCCTATCGTCCCCCCTTTATCGTCCTCTCCATCGTTCCTTTCTCCTTCTATCGCTCCCTCTATCGTCCCTTCTATATCATCCCCCTCTCTATCGCCTTCTCTCTATCGTCCCTCCAGCTCCCTCAATCGTCTCCCTTCTATATCATCCCCCTCTCTATCGTCCATCTATTGTCCCCTCTCTCGATCTTCCCTCACTATATCGTCCTCATTTATCGGCCTCTATCTATCGTCCCCTCTCTATCGTCCCCTCTCTATCGTCCCCTCTCTCTATCGTCCCTCCCTCCCTCTTTACCATCCCCTTCTTTTTCATCTCCCTCTTTCGTTCCCCCTATTTATCATCCCCTCTTTATTGTCCCCTTCTTTATCGTCCCCTCTCTCTATCGTCCCATCTCTCTATCGTTCCCTCTCTATCGTCCCCCCTCTCTCGCCCCTCTCTATCGTCCCCTCTCATAGTGACCAACATGCCCCTCTTTCGAGGGGTGCCCCTCCATGCCCCTCTTAATGCCCCTCGTTGGGTCTAATGCCCCTCTTTTGGAGGGGCATAAGTATTTATCCCTCTGAAGCAAGTAAAACTGTTCAAATCAGCTAATTTCCCCAAAAATTTTCGCCGGTGGCACTGGGATTACTTTCAAATTCAACTGTTGGCACCATTATTTGAGTTCTTTAATTGTGATTGAGTTATTATAGGTTACCTCAATTTAAAAAATATAATAAATATCTAGTTCCTCTAACCTCACTACATAAAAAATATAATAAACATCTATTTCCTCTTACCTCACTATATAATGGGCAAGAAAATTTTTTTTACTGCGGAAAAATATCTGCAATTTGTGTCTGTGCCAAAATTTATGTTGTATCTACACAAACCTTTTCTCCGCACAAACCTTTTCTCCGTACAAAACTTTTCTCGGGACATGGTTGCCTCTACTTTGAAAGAGACATATCATAATTTGTGATAATTACGATAAATGGTGCCAGCTGGATGTGTTTTACTTGTGGGTTGTCGAATAAAGCCACTTTAAAATATTAATTTCTCAAATTTTCTAGCCCTCTATTTTGAAAGGCCTCAGATATTTTGTTAAATTTGTAGATTTTACTGCGTCCAAACAAAAACGCAAAAGATTTTCCGGGGCCCAGCTCCAAATGCCCAAGAACTGGCTATGTGTTTGCTTCTCTCGCCGTTCTAGCCCTGTGAAGCCACAGAAAACAGTAAATTTGTATCTGAGAGGAAATTTTAAACTTTCTGGATGTGGGCCCTTGGCCCTACACCGCGCCGCCGAATGCCGACCATATCATCTTTCTTCAATTTGACAATTCCCCATAGGGTAGAATGTAGATGCAACTGAAGCTAATTATGCACTGGTATACATGAAAGTAGCTGACTAAAAATGTAAATGCTACGACCCGAAGGGGCAAACCCCGCCGAAGGCGAAACTTCATTTAGGGCTGGACACCCCTATATTCTATAAATGTTCCTCTTTTAGGTCAAAATGTATGCTCCTCCAAGATATTTTCTCTGTTGGTCAGTATGTCCCCTCTCTCTATCGTCCCCTCTCTCTATCGTCCACTCTATCGCCCCCTCTATCATCCCTTTATATCATTCCCCTCTCTATCGTCCCCCTCTCTCATTCGCTCTATCGTCCCCTCTCTCTATCGTCCCTCCCTCTCTATCGCCTCCTTCTATATCATCCCTCTATTTATCTTCGCTCCCTCCCTCTATCGCCCCCTTCTATATCATCCCTCTCTATCGTCCCTCCCTCCCTCTCTATCGCCCCCTCTCTCTAACGTCCCCTCTCTCTATCGTCCCTCCCTCCCTCTCTATCGTCCCCTCTCTATAACGTCCCCTCTCTATTATCCCCTCTCTCTATCGTCCCTCCCTCCCTGTATCGCCCCCTGTATCGCCCCTTCTATATCATCCCCCTCTATATCAACCCTTTCTCTCTATCGTCCTCTCTCTATCGTCCTCTCTTTATCGTCCCCTCTCTCTATCGTCCCCTCTCTCTATCGTCCCCTCTCTCTATCGCTCATCTATCATATCTTTTATATCATCCCCCTCTTTATCGTCCCCCCTCTTGTCCACTCTCTCTATCGTCCCCCTTCTATAGGAACTCTCTCTCTCTCTATCGTCCCTCCCTCCCTCTCTATCTTCCCCTTCTATATCAACTCTATCGGTCTTCTCTCTCTATCGTCCCCCTTCTATATCAACTCTCTCTATCGTCCCCCTTCTATATCAACTCTCTCTCTATCGTCCCTCCCTCCCTCTAGCTCTCTATCGTCCCCCTTCTCTATCAACTCTCTATCTCTCTCTATCGCCCCTCTATATATCATCCCCTCTCTCTAACGTCACCGCTCTTTATCGTCCCTCTCTATATCGTCCCCTCTCTCTCTTCCCCTCTCTCTATCTTCTTCTCTATCGTCTCCTCTATCGTCCCCTCTCTCTATCGTCCCCTCTCTCTATCGTCCCCTCTCTCTATCGTCCCTCCCTCCCTCTATCACCCCCTCTATCGTCCTTTCTAAATCATCCCCATCTATATCATCCCCCTCTCTATCGTCCCCTCTCTCTATCGTCCCCTCTCTCTATCGTCCCCTCTCTCTATCGCCCTTCCCTCCCTCTATCGCCCCCTCTATCGTCCCTTCTATATCATCCCCTCTCTATCGTCTTCCCTCTCTCATCCCTCTTTCCCGCCAGTGGTCCAAGCACTAAACGAGTATATTGTGTATCCTGTCTATTTAATACCTGCTAGTGAGAATAAGAGAGTATATAATTTGTATACTATTGTACTTTACCACTTGTACTTGGTACATGCTAAGTAAATAGTGGCTGTTGTGTACAAGAATTGTGTACAATTGTTCAGACTTGCTCGATATCCGCCGCTCGTATACATTTTCACGTCTCTTTAATTGCAACTGTTTTAGTATCTCTCATTTTATAGACTGAAAATAAGATTACTCAGTATAGTCTATTGTTGAACGTTATTTTATTTCTTAGTATTTCTGATTTTATTCTGAATAAAATAATAAAGATGGTTGATATTATTGCTGAGAATTAGTTCCTACTCATCCTATTATCTAATTAGTATTATAAGATTATTATTCTGCACCATCTGACGAGGTCAGTATAACCCACCATGCAATCAGGACGCTGTCTCAAGTAGCTTGTCTGAGTGTCGGGTGGGCGGTTACCCCGCCTGATATCCGAGTCACGTGTCATATTCCCACCTGTCACGTGTCATATTCTCAGGTCACGTGTCCAGTGTAGTGTAATCACGTGTCTAATGATCCCCACACCTCATCACTCTGGTATAAGCAGCCTAATAAGCCACCTAATTAGTCACGTGCACCCAATTAGGGATCACTGCTGTCCCTGTACATAAGGAAGAGCACTGTGTCTCCCTTCATTAGCTAGTAAAGCCTTGCAGGCTTTGTGAAGACTGTAGTGTGTCTAGTTCCGTACATTCTCCTCAGTACACTCCTACCAAGCTACTAGTTTGTTACTTGTTTCTGTTGCAGTTGGCTCTATGTCCCGCTCCTTATTCACTGTACTTACTAAGCTCCTTTATTCCATCCTTGTTTCTGAGTGCTAGTTGTAGTGTAGTAAGTTGTAGTGTATTACATGTAAACCTTCCTTGATAGTCGATATAATGTTTCTAGAACATGTGTGTCCTGTAATCTTTAAATATATATTTACCATTACCGAATAGTAAAACTAATTCTATTTCTAGGATTTAGCACAGTATGAACTTTATGTACAGTAACCAGACGCAGCTGTCCCAGCTCCAACCTCAACAGAAACAGCAGCAACAACAGCAACCCCAGCAGCTATCCCAGCAGAACTCTAAACCCATGGATCAGCACCTGAGGTCGGCCCTGACCCAGTCCCTGAGCACTCTCTCAGCTCCAGGAGATAACAAACTGTCCACTATCTCACCTCTAGCCCCCTCACTGGTGCAGGGTGTCTCCCAAGCTGGACAGATTCTCAACCTGGGTGCTACAAATGCGGCCTCCCTCGGTGGTCAGATCCTCAATCTCCCAAACTCTAACGGAGCAGGAGGACAGAACTTCTACGTGATGATACCCCAGCAGCAACTAGACGGTAATAACCAGCTCCAGAAGATAGCACCTATGGGTGCTGTACATCAGACCGCTACTGACTCTTTGGCAGCTCAGCGCTCAGAGCGGGAGGAGAAGCGTCGTCAGACTCACAACGAGGTGGAGAGGAGGAGACGAACTAAGATAAACGGATGGATCCAGAAGTTAGCAGAGATGGTGCCTAACTGCAAGGACGAAATGGGAACTAAGCGATCCGGCGGACCTACTCAGACAGGGATGGGACAGAAAAGTAATTGCGGGGTGTTACAGAAGACCGTTAACTTTATCCAGGAACTTCAGATCGCACATTCCCAAGTTGTGGAGCGACTTCAAGAACAGAACCAGGTCCTGGTGGAAATGGCTAAAATCAGAGAAACTCTGAAGAGGGTGGAACAAGAGAACCTCCTTCTCCGGAACCAGCTACAGAATCACGGGATAGAGCCCGTGTCAGCGCAGAACCCTGTCTCAAGACCTAATCAGTGAGAGGGTACCTGACCAGTCAGCTCTTCTGGTGATCTTATCGCGAACAGTTATCATTAACCCATCCACTGAGTCGGCACTTGTAGGGTTCTACAGAGATTAAAATGAAAATTCTCGGATCGTTTTTGCCGAATTTATTAAATCTTGACTGTTTTATTCTACTTTATTTAAGAAGAGAACCGTCTTAATTCTTAACAGAAAAGTGAGAGTTATATCTGACCGGAAGCTTTTTAGAATGGATGCATTATGAGATGTGCCTGTCTATCAGATGCATTATGTGAGATAAAATTAAACAACAGTCTTGATATGTTCTTTTCACATGATATTAACGTTTATATTTTTATCTGTAACTTATATGCGATTACGTTTGTAATTACGATTATAAGTACCTTTTATCAAATCATTTTCAATATTTATCATCAACCGGGTTAATTTTATTGATCTTTCAAAAAATATCCAAACTAACAAGTGAATGTTGCATGGTAGGACCTACTACTAGGACCTAGCCTGGTACCAATTTGAAAAACACTAGATAACTAGTAGAATACACATCTTCACTAGTAGTAATTAGTAATAATATAATTAGTAATAATTAGTCCCTCCCTCCCCCTCATGACCTAACCTCCTCTCACCCTCAGGTGTTATCAGAGAACATCTCATCAGCAGTGCAGCAGAACGGAGAACAAGTCCTCAAACAGCCTCTAGTAGCCAGCATGAGGACAGTCAAGAAAGAAACTCTCAAACTTATATCCGCGTGGGTCGGCAAGTCCACAGATCCTAAACAAGTGTGCGAAAACTTTGTCCCGCCTCTGCTGAACGCAGTGCTGGGGGACTATAATCGTAACCATCCAAATGCGCGAGACTCGGAGGTTCTCAGCACCATGACCGTATTCATCAACAAGTTGGAGAACCACGTGACTTCTGAAGTTCCCGTTATATTTGATGCCGTGTTCGAGTGCACGCTCGAAATGATAAAAGCAAACTTCCAAGACTTCCCTGAACACAGAACCAACTTTTACCTGCTCCTTGAATCAATAAACCAGCACTGCTTCAGTGCCCTCCTTCAGATCCCCCCAGACAAGTTTAAACTGGTCATGGACTCCATCGTGTGGGCCTTCAAGCACACCATGAGGAACGTGGCAGATACGGGCCTTACCACTGTTCTTACCCTCCTTCAGAACCTAGACGGGAAGGACGTTTCCCAGAGCTTCTACCAAACGTACTTCCTGAACATTCTGCAGCACATATTCAGCGTGGTCACGGACACTATGAACGCTGCGCAACTCAGCAACCAGAGCAAAGTACTGGCTTATATGTTCAGTCTTGTGGAGCAAAAGAAGATAGCTGTAGCCCTATATAGTCTGGTAAGTCTGGAGTGTAACGCTATATAGCCTGTTAAGTCTGGAGTGTAACGCTGTATAGCCTGGTAAGTCTGGAGTGTAACGCTATATAGCCTGGTAAGTCTGGAGTGTAACGCTTTAAAAAACTATATGCGGCTAATACGACTAAAAACTAGCCACACCCAGCTAATATGACTAAAAACTAGCCACACCCAGCTAATATGACTAAAAACTAGTCACACCGTACCCAGCTAATATGACTAAAAACTAGCCACACCCAGCTAATATGATTAAAAACTAGCCACACCCATGCCAGCTAATATGACTAAAAACTAGCCACACCCAGCTAATATGATTAAAAACTAGCCACACCCATGCCAGCTAATATGACTAAAAACTAGCCACACCCAGCTAATATGATGAAAAACTAGCCACACCCATGCCAGCTAATATGACTAAAAACTAGTCACACCCAGCTAATATGACTAAAAACTAGCCACACCTAGCTAATATGACTAAAAACTAGCCACACCCAGCTAATATGACTAAAAACTAGTCACACCGTACCCAGCTAATATGACTAAAAACTAGCCACACCCAGTTAATATGACTAAAAACTAGCCACACCCAGCTAATATGACTAAAAACTAGCCACACCCAGCTAATATGACTAAAAACTAGTCACACCGTACCCAGCTAATATGACTAAAAACTAGCCACACCCAGTTAATATGACTAAAAACTAGCCACACCCAGCTAATATGACAAAAAACTAGCCACACCCAGCTAATATGATTAAAAACTAGCCACACCCATGCCAGCTAATATGACTAAAAACTAGTCACACCCAGCTAATATGACTAAAAACTAGCCACACCTAGCTAATATGACTAAAAACTAGTCACACCCAGCTAATAATAAGATGACTAAAAACTAGTCACACCCAGCTAATATGTGCCACCCCAGCTAATTAAATGTGCCACCGCAGCTAATATGTGCCACCCCAGCTAATGTGTGCCACCCCAGCTAATGTGTGCCACCCAGAGCTCGACCGGGATCCCGGCGCAGCCGGGATCCCGGCCGGGATTTGGTGATTTTGTGCCGGTCCCGGTCCCGGCCGGGATTTTGTTTTTAGCCGGGATTTTAGCCGGGATTTTTCCAAAATAAAGTCGGTTTTTGAGCGTATATTTGAGCCCAAATTTCACGAACCTGTGAACATTTTCCGAAAAGTTTTACTACAACAGTGCTCTACAGTGCTTCTTAATAGTTAGATCATTTCACTTTCTCGTCGTCAAAAGTTTATTGAAAATTCAACTTTCAAGTCTTATGTGAAATGTTTATGTTACATGATCAAAATTCTATGAATTTTGATCAATGGTAGTTGGCAAATTTCAAGTCAAACAAAATTTACTAATGTTCAAAATTAATTATATATGTTCAACTGTTCACTTCATGAGTAACAAATTACAAAATGTTAGAAGAAAGCTGAAGTCCGAACAAACTTAGAAATATTCAAGAGTCAGGGGCTCTCTATCTATCTCAGAGATAAAGAGAGAGATATATAGAGAGAGAGAGAGAGAGAGAGAGAGAGAGAGAGAGAGAGATAGAGAAAGATAGAGAGAGATAGAGATTAGAGAGAGATAGAGTAGTTACTACTACTTACTGTCAATTTTAACTTGACATACCTCAGTTTGTTCTGGAAGATTTTATTTAACATATAACACTGTTTCATTTTAACTGAGATTGAGAAATATTGGAAAAATCCCGGTCCCGGTCCCGGCCGGGATGAGGCTAATCCCGGCCCGGTCCCGGCCGGGACTAAATTTCGATCCCGGTCGACCACTGGTGCCACCCCAGCTAATGTGTGCCACCCCAGCTAATATGTGCCACCCCAGCTAATATGTGCCACCCCAGCTAATGTGTGCCACCCTAGCTAATGTGTGCCACCCCAGCTAATGTGTGCCACCCTAGCTAATGTGTGCCACCCCAGCTAATGTGTGCCACCCTAGCTAATGTGTGCCACCCCAGCTAATGTGTGCCACCGCAGCTAATATGTGCCACCCCAGCTAATGTGTGCCACCCCAGCTAATGTGTGCCACCCCAGCTAATGAGTGCCACCCCAGCTAATGTGTGCCACCCTAGCTAATGTGTGCCACCCCAGCTAATGTGTGCCACCCCAGCTAATGTGTACCACCCCAGCTAATGTGTGCCACCCCAGCTAATGTGTGCCACCCCAGCTAATATGTGCAACCCCAGCTAATGTGTGCCACCCCAGCTAATGTGTGCCACCCCAGCTAATGTGTGCCACCCCAGCTAATGTGTGCCACCCCAGCTAATATGTGCAACCCCAGCTAATATGTGCAACCCCAGCTAATATGTGCCACCCCAGCTAATGTGTGCCACCCCAGCTAATGTGTGCCACTCCAGCTAATGTGTGCCACCCCAGCTAATATGTGCAACCCCAGCTAATATGTGCCACCCCAGCTAATATGTGCAACCCCAGCTAATATGTGCCACCCCAGCTAATATGTGCCACCCCAGCTAATGTGTGCCACCCCAGCCCACCAGCTTGTTTTTGTGTCAGCCCTGAAGCGGAACTATACAGCTAGACACCAGCTAGCCCACAAGAATTATCTGAGTTTGTCTCCGCACCTGGTACTCACTCAACAGTTTATAGAGTCATATTACAGGTGTGATAGTGAAAGTGAAACTAGTCAAGTTACAGCTGTGATAGTGAAAGTGAAACTATCCCTAGCCAGGTCAAGGCGTGGAAGTAAAAGTTGGAAAGTGTGGAATATAGCGTGAAAGTGAAAGTAGATTTGAGCGGAGTACCGTAAGAGTCATGTGCCTATAATAGCTATGGTTAAGTTGCCGGGTAGTTTCCTTTTATTCGGTGGAAAGTTAATGTTGCAGGCGGGGGGGGGGGAGGGGGTTATGACTATTTTCATTATACTTACCATTATGCAACTGGTAAGTATAGTAAAAACTCCAAAACCAGGCGAGATAACGAACGCTTTTTATCAGGAAGATCATCCGGGTGAAATAGACAATGTGGCGTATGTAAAGAGCTACACACAGGACCTCCTCAAGAAAGCTTTCCCAAACCTCCAGGAGTAAGTCATTATTGTATAGTTACAGCCAAGGTAACATTGGTTACAGCACATTGACCACACCTTGAACTCATTTATGCAAATATGTAATTAATAAATAATATTATTTATACCAAATACCCCAAAAATGTATATAATTTGTAATTCAACCTTCTGTTCGGATTATTTCTAAAGTATCACGTACCATTAAGTGATTAAGTGATTAGTAATTAAATATAAACTGTACAGGATGCAAGTGTCAGTATTTGTGGACGGTCTGTACGCCCTGAATCAAGACAACGCCGCCTTTAGAGAGCACCTCAGAGATTTTATCGTCCAGATAAAGGTTAGTACCTGGAAATATAACTAGTAACTAACTAGTAACTGACTAGTAACTAGATAGTAACTAACTAGTGACTAGATAGTAACTAACTAGTAACTGACTAGTAACTGACTAGTAACTAACTAGTAATTAACTAGTAACTAACTAGTAACTAACTAGTAACTAACTAGTAAGGTTCCTTAGCTTGAATTGTAGCAGAAATGAAATCTGCTTAAGTTCAGCAGCGTTAGATGAAATATCTATAATATCAAGTTATCGGATTAAAAAGGTTGCTGCGATTAGAAATCTCTGCCACCTGAGGCACCATAACCACTCGAGGCAGCATAACCATTCGAGGCAGCATAACCACACGAGGCAGCATAACCACACGAGGCAGCATAACCACTCGAGGCAGCATAACCACTCGAGGCAGCATAACCACTCGAGGCAGCATAACGATTCGAGGCAGCATAACCACTCGAGGCAGCATAACCACACGAGGCAGCATAACCACTCGAGGCAGCATAACCATTCGAGGCAGCATAACCACTCGAGGCAGCATAACCACTCGAGGCAGCATAACCACACGAGGCAGCATAACCACACGAGGCAGTATAACCACTCGAGGCAGCATAACCACTCGAGGCAGCATAACCACTCGAGGCAGCATAACCACACGAGGCAGCATAACCATTCGAGGCAGCATAACCACTCGAGGCAGCATAACCACACGAGGCAGCATAACCACACGAGGCAGCATAACCACACGAGGCAGTATAACCACTCGAGGCAGCATAACCACTCGAGGCAGCATAACCATTCGAGGCAGCATAACCACTCGAGGCAGTATAACCATCGCTAATTTATTGTCTGAATAAGCCCAACTTTTGTTACCATAATATTGGAGGTAGCTTAGTAACTACATTTATCATTCATTTGTTGAGACATCAGCCTCCAACTTTATAAACATTCGCTAAGATCAGCTCATTTTGATAGACACAGCTGGACCAGTGAATATAATAGCAACTTGTAGTCACGACAACGTGACATTCCTAAATACTGATCGAGTTTCCAATTCCACCTGTTCCAACTTCATCAACTGTATTCATGTGACAGAGACACGAGGTCATGTGCCTCAGGTACTGGGGTCACGTGATAACAGCTAATCTCATAGAGGCCCGGTAATCTGTTGAGCGAGATGATGCAGAGCCACCTGTTCAGATCCACGTTACCAGAGCCACAGCTAGAAATAGCCATTTCAGAAAACATTGTTAATAACGACCAGTTGCTACTAGTGACTTGTAGAGTCTACAAGTCACTAGTAGCAAATGTAGACACCAGCTAAAATTACGGTCCTCCACCCCTCCCTCCCCTCCCCTCCCTTTGCTAAGACTGAGATAAGAGAATTGATAGTTTAAAATCGAGTGGACACACCTCAGTGAAACTCGTCAGCCCAAAGTAAATCCCCGTCCTGGTGCGTTCTACCCCTGATCTAAACCTGGGTAACCGTAGAGTCAGCGACTGCCAAGTTTGTCACATGAACATCTAGGCAGTGTTTGATTGGTCTAAGAACGTTACTAAACCCCAAAATCTGCTGCTGAGTAGTGTAGTTGATCCGCAAGTAAAACACCTATAATCAATACTAATAATCCCAGGATGTCTGTCTGTCTGTCTGTCTGTCTGTCTGTCTGTCTGTCTGTCTGTCTGTCTGTCTGTCTGTCTGCCTGCCTGCCTGTCTGCCTGTCTGTCTGTCTGTCTGTCTGTCTGTCTGTCTGTCTGTCTGTCTGTCTGTCTGTCTGTCTGTCTGTCTGTCTGTCTGTCTGTCTGTCTGTCTGTCTGCCTGCCTGCCTGCCTGCCTGCCTGCCTGCCTGTCTGTCTGTCTGTCTGTCTGTCTGTCTGTCTGTCTGTCTTTCTGTCTGTCTGTCTGTGGGAAATTTCCGAACGGTTAAATCAAGAAAACGGTAAGAGATATGCGACTGATTTTTCAAAGCCAAATGATTATGTTTTTAAAAATCGGTCGGTGGTAAGTGGTCAAATTGATTATTTTGTGACCCAAATGTGATGCTGAAGTGTGTGTGTGTGTGTGTGTGTGTGTGTGTGTGTGTGTGTGTGTGTGTGTGTGTGTGTGTGTGTGTGTGTGTGTGTGTACTCTCCCAATCTTACTCTATCTCTCTCTTTCCCATCACAGATTCGTGATATATCATATAATTATGTAATTTGGCAGTGTAGGTCTCAAGATTTCGATTGGTTATCAAGTATTACTATTGGAGTATTAGATATGTGAGGGGCACCCAGAATTAAATTGCAGTCTGTTTGGACTGAGCGAGTTCATACTTTCGCACCGTTTTAAGTAAGAAAATGTAATGCGTGTTTTCGAATATAATAGGCGGGTTTATACTTTTGCATTTCAACTGCGATAGTGAAGTCCCGGCCGTAGGCACGGGTACGGTGACACTAGTACCCTAAGTTATAATACTCTATGTATAATAATGATAACACCATAAACTGGTTCTAGATTATGGCACTCTTTGGGGGATAAATGTTTACTGCACGAATAGGCATTAAAAATATTTGAATGCACAAGTTTAATTAATACTATTAGTTGTTATGGGCATTATAAACATTTGAGTGCACAAGTTTAATTAATACTAGTAGTTGTTATGGGCATTATAAACAATATATACGAGTGAACAAGTTTAATTAATACTAGTAGTTGTTACGGGCATCATAAACATTGGAGTGCACAAGTTTAATTAATACTAGTAGTTGTTATGGGCATTATATACATTTGAGTGCACAAGTTTGACAAGTTTAGGTGGTATGACACGGTGACGCGTGACACAAGCATCAGCGAAAACTGGTGTGACGAAGCAGACGTTAAAGCAGAAAGAGACAGTTATGAGTTCAAAGTTTTCTTCTACTTCCTTACTGAGCCTAGCATCACTGAATGCAAAAGGGCTCTCTAAGACGGAGAAACAGGAAGAACTCGGAACGGATTGTTTTGAATATAGTGTTGATATCTTGTGCGTTCAAGAGACAAAAGTCAAAAATCATTCCACTAGATATCTCAGAAACAATTACAAATTGATCATGATGGAGCAAAATCAAGGACGACATGGTGGACTAGGTTTCATCATAAGTCCTAGATTACTACCTTATGTCACAGACTATCAGTATACCTCAGACCGGGTTTCCTATCTTAATGTCGTCATTCCTTCTAATCTCTCATCCCATCCTAAAAATATCAGAATTGTTAACGGTTATGGCCCGACTAATCCTAAAGCAGAAGGAAACCCTGCCCTTCTTAGAAAGTTCTACAGAGAACTCACCCATGCTATTTCAGTTCCTGCATCTCATGAATTGTTTGTTTGTGGTGATCTCAACAGTAAGTTGGGAACCTTATCTCCTTTGGACTATCAGTATGGTGTAACAGAGTATATGGGCAAGTTTGGAATGGGTACAAGGAATTTCAACGGTGAACATTTATTAAACTTCATGTGCTTAAACAAACTGTTTGCTACCAATACCTATTTTGATCATCCTTGTAGACATCGAACTACTTTCTCTATGTGTATTTCTGCCAAAGGTCGCCCTAAAGGTAGCAAACTTACTCGTCCAGTCTTTGCCCAATTAGATTATATTCTGTGCAGAACACGCAGCAGATTCATGTTCCAAGATTGTAGAGCATATGGCGGTCTTGCTACTAACTCAGACCACAGACTCGTTGCTTGTAAGATCAAACTAGCCCCCTACTACAAAATCTTTCCTACAAAAAAGATAAGTTCAGTAGTTAAGAGATATAACAACTCCCTGCTCACCACTGACCTTCCCACCAAAGTCAAATACCAACTTTCAGTCGAACAGAAAGTCAACAACTCTCAGGTAACATCAAACCCTAATGATGATCTCACTAACCTGATGGATGTCCTTAAGACAACTGCTGATGAAGTAATCGGGACACTACCACGCTCCAGAAACCGTAACTTCAGTAGTGACTCAACTGTTGAAGCCCTTGTAAAAGAGAGACAAACCCTGCAAGCTGCACTTAACTGTAACAACCAAGTTGCTGACAGAACTCAAGTCCGTACAAGGATCAACAGGTTACAGAAAGACATCCGTAAGCATCTCAAGAACCTTGCTGACACACGTGCCGATGACATCGCTCGAACCATCATGTCAACAGATGACACAAGGCAGATGTTTGAAGCTGTGCGTACTCTAGCTGACACTAAGCCCAAATCTACTATCAGTGTCCACAATGAAGAAGGTAACTTTGTTGCCACAGATGCTGGTAAAGCTCAAGTGATCAGAGACTACTACGAAAAGCAGTTCACGTGTGAGGATGAACCACTTCAAGCATTTATAGGGGATGGACGCTGCCTAGACATACCCATCACATGTGATGAAGTAAAGAAAGCCGCCCAATCTCTCAAGAACAACAAAGCCACTGGTCCAGATAAAGTCTACAACGAGTGGTTGAAAAATGCTGGTACAAAATTCTGGTCAAAATATGCCGAGATCATCAATAGCGCATTGGAGACCAATTCATTTCCTGATGTTATAGGTGAAGCCATCATCACCCCCTTACCGAAACCTCGCAAACCAGCTGGTCCTGTCACTAGTCTACGACCTCTATGTCTATCAAATGGTGCTCGTAAGATATTATCCATGATTGTACTGAAGAGAATTGAAGACAAAGTTGATGCTTTCACTGGTAGCACGCAGGCGGGGTACAAACATGGTAGAAGTTGTGGTGATCTAGTGTGGGCTGAGCGGATGTTGATATCGGTTGTCACGCGTAAACACTTCCAGTATCACAAGATGGGCATAGATATGTCTCGAGCATTTGACACAATCAAACGCCAGACTATACTTGACCTTCTTGTCAAAGCTGGATGCACAGACGACGACCTCAGGCTAGTAAGACTCCTCTTAACCAACACCATGCTCAAGGTCAGAGTGGAAGGAGAACTATCTGCTGTATTCGAGAGTCTTCTTGGGTCCTTTCAAGGTGACAGTCTCTC